GAGCTAAATCCCCAGCCCCTAGTTTTTTTTTTTAATTTAGTGTTTTTTTGAGACAAGTTCTTGCTTTGCAGTTCAGGCTGGCCTTGAGCTCACTTTGTAGCCCAAGCTGGTCTCAAACTCCCAACAATCCTCCTGCCTCAGCCTCCAGACTGCTGGAATTACAGGCTTGCGCCACCACGCCTGGCTTTATTTCACTTTAGATGTGTCTTCTCAAAGTCGTACAAGTGAAATCATATTTTGTGTCTGGTTTTTGCACTTAGCACAATGACTTCTGGGATTCATCTATGCTGTTGGGTGTATCAAAATTATGTTTTTTGGATATATTACAATTTGCTTATTCACTCACCCACTGACGTGTGTTTGGGTAGTTTCCAGTTGGGGCCGTTATGAATAAAGTTGTGTGACTATCTGTTTATATATCCTTGTGTCTTAATTTCTTTGGGGTACATATCTTTTTTTTTTTTTTTGTACTGGGACTCTAACTCAGGACCTTGCACTTGCCAGGCAGGCGCTTGTGCTGCTGAGCTATATTGCTGGCCTGGGATATATATCTAGTGGCAAGATTTCTGGGTATTTACTAAATATGTGTTTAATTTTACAAGAAACCAGAAAACTTTTATATTATCTAAAATAAAAAGGCAGATCACCCGGCCTGGTAGTAATCCCTGTAATCCCAGCACTTGGAAGGCTGAGGCAGGAGGATCAACATGAGAGTTCAAGGCCAGCCTGGGCGAGACCCTGTCTTAAAAAACCCAAAAACAAACAGAAGAAATCAGGAACTAGAGATGTTAACGAAGTTAAGTAATGGTGATAGGGAGATGAGAGGGGAAAGCTGAAAAAAAAAGAGTAGAATATGCAAATTTAATATGTTAGAGACTGACTAGTTCTTTTTTTTTTTTTTTTTTTGTCTTTTGAGGCAGGGTCTCGCTATGCAGTTCAGGCTGGCCTTGAGCTCACTTTGTAGCTCAGGCTGGTCTCGAACTTGCGACGATCCTCCTGCCGCAGCCTCCCAAGTGCTGGGATTACAGGCGTGCGCCACCAGGCTGGGCCGAGGCTGACTAGTTCTCAATGATGGTGAGCCTGGAGGTCACTGATAAAGACACCTGAAGTGCCATGGAGTGGAATGTTGGTCACTAGTAGGGGAGTCAAGGACCTTCAAGGTCGGAGAGAGGTGGCTCTGTCCAAGGGATGCGGGCTGGATTCAGGGGCCCATAACCAGGAACTCTGCACCGATAACATCAAGTAAGGACAAGAGGCGCTAATAAAGACTGATTCTTTTGGTACTGGGAATCAAACTCAGGACCTCGTGCTTGTCAGGCAGGCACTGTGCCCATTAAGCTGTATCCCCGGCCCTAAAGACAGATTTTTACAGGAAAATGAAGACTGCAGTTGTGGTCTGGGAGTGGCACTTGTGAGTACTGGCTCTGTGGCATGTGAGTTAGAGAATGAACTGACCCAGGGCAGCCGTGTATGGCGGGGGGAGGATCCCAAGGTATCTCTGGGTTTTTGTGAGGCAGGGTCTCGCTGTGTCACCTAGGCTGGCCTTGAACTCCAGGCAATCCTCCTGCCTCAGCCTCCTGAGTGCCGGGATCACAGGTGTGTGTGCTACGGCGCCCCGCCCTGGTTTCTGTGCAAGCAAAGAGAATTCTGCAAGCAGCGGAGGGCTAGGAAGGGAGGTAGCTCCCAGAGCAGGCTGGAAAAGCGTTTGTGGGGAGCAGGAAGTGGAGTAGAGAGAGGATGTGTGAAGGGAGTAGCAGGGATAAGAATGCCAGAGAAGATGAGTCACTGGCAGGGTTTGCATGTGGGCATTCGCCAAGGATAACGGGAATAAACGCATGGTAGACTCAGCTGGCATCAAGGTTCCAAGTGGAACTCCAATAAATGTGCCTGAACACCTAGAAACACGCCCACATTTTAAAGATACATGAGGACACCAGGAGTGGTGGCGCACCCCTGTAATCCCAGCACTCGGGAGGCTGAGGCAAGAGGACTGTTGTGAGTTCGAGGCCAGC